TTAAATTATATTAGCATTTAGAATAACAATATTCACGATGCCTTCATTATGTTCGGCATATAACTTTAAAAATAGAAGTCGTCAAATATATAAGTTTTCAAGTTTTCTGCCTTATTTGTGATCTGTTTGTATGCTTCTTATTGAAATAACATTCACTTTCGGGCGTTATGCTAACTGAATAACATTTCAACAGCTTACATTTTAATGAAGTTAACCGATGCAGTGACCAACGTGTTTTAACGGTTCTCAATTAGTTCTGCTTACATGTTACGACTTGGGTTTTATATTATTGGTTTTGGAGGTAAAATAACGCGCGAGCCGCGCCCACACGGCCTTAACCAGCGCAAAACGGAATAATATATACTCTGTTTCTCCGGAGGGCGCAGCTTTGACTGCAAAAAACATGGCTTCAATTTTCTGCAAAAATGGAGGAGCTTCAGCTACTCTATATAGTATATTATAAGACCTAGGTTGCAATCTAGTAATGACAAATTAAATCCATCATTATTTTCCATCATCATAGGACTTTTATCTCACGGTGCAATGTCTCATAATCCGTTTAGTGGATGAGTTAATTATGAAAAATGTCAATTAAAATACATTTCTATTTTCTAATAATTTACAATTATTCTCAATTATGTAAGAAAAAATTAAAATTATTTACAAATCCATTAAAATTTACTTCTGTAAAATAATTGAAATGTATTAGATCATATTCATGTTAGGAACTATTCATGTTCAGCATTCTAGGGTTATTATGTCAAAAATACCTTGTACATGTGTATGTACTTTCTTTGAAATCCACATTATTTCCATTATTTATAACATGTTATATTTGCTCCGTGGCTTGGACATGTTAAAAGAATAAAAGAAAATAGAATTCCAGAAATAATTTTAGAGTGGTTTTCTGTGGGTATGAAGAAAAGGGGAATACCTAACATAGCTGGTTGAGAGAAATTGAGGGAATTTGAAAGAGAAGATTTTAACAAAAAGAGTTTACAAAGATCAGGACAAATGGAAAATAAAATTAAAATTATACAAAGTACTAGAATTTTTGGCTGACAGAAAGTGCTTTTTCAACAATGTAAAATGGTGAAATAAATAAATACATTTGCTCCATAATAGTAGGTATTAAGGTCTAGCATGCTTCACCACCAGCTTACAGTACCAGTACTCTAGAATTAAATCACGCCAAAAATAAATCACGATAATGAAATATTTTCCTTTAAGATGTGTGTGTGTATATCTAACGATTCTGGCGTCTTTGTTTAAGTCGACCGCACCGAACCGCCCCTTTGCTTTAACTGAGGTAAAGCTGTAGTCACCAATAATGTGACGTGACATCGATGTGAGAACATAGATCAAATTAATTCCACTCCATAATTCAAATTAAAATATCGATGTAATAATAATTTCATTAAAAAAATCTTAGGTTTTTAAATACCGAGTTTTAAAACTGGTTTAATAACTAACTTTAAAACATCGATGTACAATGATGATAAATTCGTGCGCCACAAAATTTAATTGACAGTGGCCAATTTTACTGATTAAAATTAATGTTTAACTGAAAACGAAGTTAAAAAGTTATTAAGATAAAAGATAAAACAGCGTTAAAGACTAAGCCCCCATGGCTATCTGAATGTGTCATTAGGTCGCTAATAAGGGCATGGGAATTATAAGTTGGCCCTACGTCCATGGTGCATGTGTAGACCGTTTCTCCTTGTGCGAAAAGTGCAGAAAGACGTAGAAAATGCCAAGGCATCGGCGTCATCTCGAGGATGCTTGATTGATTGATCGATTGTTAAATGATTCCGGGCACGTCAACTACCACGGTCATTAGTCTCGTAAGTGTACTTCATGTGTTTTGCTCGGGAGGTGGTGGTGATCATTCCCCTGCTGTATGGCGCCGACCTACCGTCGGCTAGCGGGTTTCTCACCCACCAGGTATCTCCAAACATCGAGACATTTCCAGCAGGAACAAGCTCTTAGCTCCTGACGGGTCTCCCGGCATGTGTGGTAGTGTAGTTCATTTTAGTGTGTGTAAAGGGTCAGGTTGGGACAAGGAAGAGGAAGGTGAGATCGCGCGCTGTTCGTGGCCCGTTTGTTATGGTACTGCTCCGGCATTCGCCGGGTGTTGATCGGAGAAACCACGGAAAACTACCGATCAGAGCAGCCAGTCGCTAGAATTCTCCTCCAGACAGCGACTGAATTCGACCTAACTGTATAGCTAGTGTCAAAACCGGTCCTGCTCAATGAAGGCAGTGCGTTTGGTTCGAACATTTAAACTAACAGTGTTTCCAACAGTAATGTCATATTTTACCTTTTTTGTGATTATGTTAATTTTTTACTCACGAAGAAAACATCGAAAACGTAAAAATATCGACCCCGAATTATAGGCGTCAGAACCTTAGAGTGGCAACCTGATCTTAGAATTCCAATGACCGCGTTCACAAATTACACTTACAATTACCCGACTCAACACGTCGATGCTCATAAAGTCGTGGTAATATTTTCAGGCTAATGATGAAATCGAAAAATTACAAAAAAAGTGGGATATGGGAATCTATGCTTCTAAGACCAAAATGGCAAAGCAATTATTTACGGTTAATATTATGAGGAACGCGAATGTGCTTTTTAACAGTTAAGCATCTAGCAGCAAGAGACTTTAACAGCAGAGTGGAAAGGAGCAGTGTTACTAATAATACGCCAGGAACTATTTTTTATAAATGCATAGAATCCAACGTCAATCTCCAAATAACCCCAATCTCAACTCCGACGCATATTGTATTCAAGCTTACCTCATCAAATCTTGTATTTTTATATCCTTACTAGAGACATGCATTCTAATAATAATAATAATAATAATAATAATAATAATAATAATAATAAATAATAATAATAATGCCTTTATTAATAGCGAGGCTCAGGCCATAGGGCCTGCTTTCCGCCTAACTACTGAATTTACATACATTTAGAGTAGTAACATTTTAAGAGAGGGACGAAGCTGTACTTTACCGTCGGAGCAAACATATCTAGGGACCATTCCGGCATACGCCTTAAGCGATTGAGTAAACCCAGAAAACCTCAACCAGGATGGCGGCTTAGGGCCGAACGTCATCAATTTACGGAGAAAAGTGGAAGAGAAGGAAATATAAGAGAAAGGAATCATAAATAAAAATGAAGAGGGAAAACAGGAGGAGAAAGAAAAGAGACCGAGAGGGGGGCACCTGTACATATCGGTGCATTCTACAGTCTCACAGTCACTACGAAAACTTTCATCCGATCATTTACCTGTTCTAACCGCACTGCAACTCACCCCTTTTCTTTACTATCTTCCTCCTTTTTAAAAATTCAACGTAAGTTCCGAAATATTCAACTTATTTCCATCATCTCATCTCCTCTCCACTCTGCAGTTATAAAGTGAACAACAATGGTTTCGAGTTTGAGTTTCCACTACAATCTTTTATATTTTTGCGACCGGGAGCGTCGCCAGCGGTCCTTGGACGGCGTACCGCGTGGAGACGGCACTGCCACGGGCTGTTGAGGCCCGCGACCGACACCCGGAATGCTAGACCGAGCACGGGAACGTAGACCGGGAACTAGCAGCGGGACACGATGTTGTTACCCAAATTTTTTTTTGTTGGCGGGTTCAAACCCGCATCGAAGCCGTGGATTTTTAAGGGCGAAAAAAATCCTTCGTACGCCTTCCTTCGGAGGGAAGTAAAGCCGGCTGTCCCATGTTCGTAATTTACTTGCATGTAAAAATCCTCAAGCCTAAATGACGCCTCTGAGCTAAATTCAAAATCGCCTGTTTCTCGCCCAAGAAATACCTCCTTTCTCTCCTAGTTGGCGAAAGGAGCGTAGCGAAATTTGCGTGGTCAGACGGAAGAGCGGGCCTGATGGCCCGAGTCTCGCCACGTAAAATAAGGCAACACTCAATTCAATTCAACGTATGGGCGTGAGCGAGCCCACGCTCGAGTGCGGTACGCCGTATTCTCTGGAGGAACACGGGATACTCTGGGGAAGCGTAGAGTCCCTAGATACACAGAGTAGCGCAGCTGACGCCATTTAATATCCTTTCACCGGTTAGGTCCGCCAGAGTATTCAGGAGCTGAAGTAAATTGTAACATTTGGTGACATTAAGGAGATTTTCATCAATATTAAATGTTGGTTTGGAATAGATTCATGGTTCTCAACTAACACAATACCACACAGTTCCAATTCTCCTGACAACTGGTTATGAAGTGGCGGGATTGGTGGAACAACGGAATGCGCTACTCTCTGTATCTAGGGACTCTAAGGAAGCGTGCCACCACTGCGCGCCACGGGCCGTAGCGGCGACGACGGGAAGGAAACGCATCGCACCAAGGAAGCCTACAAAATTTATGTTCACGTGCTAACTTAGATAAGTTGTACAGTCTGAATGAATAAACTTTTGTTTGGTTGTACATTGAGAGAATTGTCTGAACATAACACGACCTGCAAGGAGTGGCTGAGATTGAGAGAACTGACCGGAGCCTTGTGATGAGATTGCCTCCAGATCGTCTGCTCCGAAAAAGGTTGGCAAGCCCCTTTGAAAGAACATTTTCATCAACTTAAGAAGACCATGGAAATGGTGAAAAGAAAAATTTCACCCTCCTAATCCGGAGTAAGAACGCAGGCAGTGCTCAAGCCCATGCTAATCTGTTAAGTATATTTATTTTCATTATTCAAAAATAATTTATTCTTAGATATTCACACACCTGTTTAATTTATGTATGTGTACCGCCCGTTACTTACTCACACATTATAAAGGTTTGAATAACTAAATTATTAGAATACCTTTAAAGAGGGTGATAGGTTTCATGTATTTTAATACAAGCTTATAATATGACAAGCGTACTATACGACAAGAATACACCTCGCTCAGCATACGATTTGACCAGCATGTGATAGGACCAGCACATGATAGGAAAGCATTGTTTAGTTGTTTCAGAAAATTGAATTAAAATCTGCTAGGAGTGTATCCCAAAGTCAATGGAGTCAGAAGCCAGGGTGGACGAGAAACCGTGGGAGACCAAGACGTTGCATATGCAGGGAGCAGGCTAGCCCCGCCCATGAGGGCGCCACCACGCGGCAGCAGAGCTGGGAGCGCTTGCGGCGGGGCGACTACCCCGGGCGACGGCGGCGGCCGCTGGCGCCACCCGCTCGCCTTTACCATGCGCATGCTGCGCCTCGCTGGCGTCTGGCGCCCTCGCGACGTCGTCTGGCGCAAGGTGAGTAAGCTCACACCAGCCACTCCGCTCCCCTTCGCCATGCGCATGCGTCGCTCCGCTGGCGTCTGGCGCAAGGTGAGTAAGCCCACACCGCCACTCGCTCGCCTTCACCATGCGCATGCGTCGCTCCGCTGGCGTCTGACGCCCTCGCGACGTCGTCTGGCGCAAGGTGAGTAAGCTCACACCATCAAGCTCGCCCGCCTTCGCCATGCGCATGTTGCGCTTCTTTGACATCTGGGGCCTTCGCGACGTCGTCTGGCACAAGGAGAGTATGTCCACACCGCCACTCGCACGCCTTTACTATGCGCATGCTGCGTCTTGCTGCCGTCTGGCGACCTCGGCATGTCGGCTGACAGAAGGTGAGAAAGCCGCTACTTACTCGCTTTGACGTGACGCAAGAACAAATTTCCAAGGAAATGAATTCTCGGCTTTAAATGTTTGCATACTCGCCATTAAATGTGATTGCATGTTGTGTTTTGTAACTTTTTTGACTTTGTTTTAGTGAGAAGTGCTATTTAGTGTACCATTATTATACGATGTTATTGCAGTATTATTATTGTAGTAATAGGGCAGTAACCTACTTTTGTTAAAGTATGGCTTTCAATTAATTTTAATGTTCTATTCGAACATTCTATTTGTTATTATTTAGCAGTGGGTGTGCTTGTTTGGGTGGTTATGTTTAGCAGAATGTTTGCCCGTAGAAGTTTTCAGTTTTAGGGGTTCAACTTAGATCATGGTCTTGTTTTTATAGATGATCGCTCCTCAATTTTGTTATTCTCCGGAGTGTTCAAAAACTTCCTTGACTTTTCTGTCTTTCGTTCATTTTTCTTGACTATCTTTTTAGAGGATATGTCAATGTTCCTTTGCACATTGTGGCAAAGTAAATGGATATTAATTTTTATTATTTAATAATGGGAGACAGTAGTTGATGAGATGTTGATGTGATAAGGATTTTTTGATTGTGACACGCCCTGATGCCTGACATCTGTGACAAGTCTCGTGTTTTAATTTCCTTGAATATGCTTTTTGTTGGATTTCTGCTTAATGAATCATCTATGAAGTTAAAAATTTGGAAGTATATACTCGTAAACTAGAAACAATTCTATTCCAATACTTTAAATTTTTGATGTTAAAGGAGGCTCTAGGTACAAGGTAAAAAAGTGGTCCAAACGACGACTATTTTGTTTGTGTAAATCTATATCAATGGATAAAGTTTTGTATAGCTATTTTGTTCCTTTAACTCAGAAATCCTACACAAAAATGATAAGGATTTTATTGTATGTAGTAAGTACACGTTTAACGTTAAAATTTCGAAGAAAACCAATCATGAAAACGTCAGAAAATTGCATTTCAACGCCGAGAAAGTAATTAAATAAAATAATGACGTGCTGAATAAATGTGGATGTTTATAAACCAGTGACAATTGTAATTTACAGTGTTGCCAATAAGTCATGCAAAACGCAGTGATTGCCTGTTGTTTTCTAATCACCGCTGGCCCAAGGTACAAGGTGGGCTGGGTTACAAGGGTGTACTCATTTTATTTACATTAAAGAAGCAAGCAAAGATAATATTTTTTATTTATCGATTTTTTTCAGCAAACATCTGATTAATCGATAACACAATTTGTTTAGTCTCTATTAAAGAGGCTTCAAAAATATTGTATATATATATATCTTTCTAGGGAGAGCGGCCCCGAGATATTAAGTATCAAATTTACACCGTCTTCACTGTCACGCTGTACCTTATCTTTACGGTGTCGGGCATGATAAACATCAAGTACAGTACGGACAACCTTAGTCACCTCACGGATGTCGTGTCCATGGTGGCGGTGAGCGTGTTCAACGGCGCCAAGGTCACTCCAATGCTGTTCCGCCGTCGCCGAGTCGAACGGTGTCTTTACCTCCTTCGCGCTTCTCTCCGCCTGGGACCGCCACTTGTGAGTTTGATATCAATTTTTTAATTTTATATATATTTTATTTGCAATTTGTTACATCCAAACAATAGGCAAATCTTTTGACACAGTTACAATGGCATGTGAAGGAACTGGGCATTCACAGTCCTCCATGAATTCATTTTCAGTAGTAATCAAATAAATGGTATAAACCACAAATCAAGTAGAAGACAAATATGATCATGACGGAAAAAACAACAGACAATATATTAATGCATTTACATTTCTGGCAATTACGAACGTAATTATGTTTCAGTAAATAAAATAATTCAAAACTGTTTTAGTTTGTTACAGTACAATTTTCTATAGCAATACAATATATATATATATATATATATATATATATATATATATATATATATATAGTTTTCAATGATCGAACTTATTTATGAGGTTCAAGGGATAAAATCTGCACAATCTTCTTAAGTCTTGGCTATTGTCGAGTAAGTTTAATGCTAGGTAATTTGGGTGATTTTCTAAGCGCTTATAATATTTTTGGAAACAGAATTGGACTATTTGTGGGTGTATGTAAGTTATTGTGAAAAGTTTTATTTGAAACAAGCCACGGGGCATTGGTAAGTAATCATAAAGTTTTCGATTGAAATCGCTGCAGTATTTCTAGGTTTGAGTTGGCCGCAGTGCCTCAAAGTTCTTTTCCGTTGGTCCAAACAGACAGATTTTAATATTGATTTATAAATCAGTAGTTTATTACTCAATGAATGAGACGATTTATTACCTAGAAAGGAATAATATTGCTTGATTTGATTTTGAGAGCTTTTCTTTTCTTTTTAATGTGTAATGAGTCATTTTTCGATCGAGATGTAGACCAAGGTATTTAACGCAATCTCCCTGTGGATAGTATATCCTTGTTGTTGATTTTAATTGGAGGACATCTATTGGGACTGAGTGCAAACGTCTCGTGGACAGATTTGCTTTCATTAGTTTTTATACACCACTCTGTGAACCATTCCTGCAGCACAGTGAGGTATTCTTGAAGTTTTTCTGATGTTTCGAAGACATTTTCATTAGAGATTAAAAACGCTGTGTCATGAGCAAACACGGCTGATATGATGTCCGTTGAAATAGGTTGGTTTGCCGTGTACAGTAAATACAGTAGTGGACCAAGAACACGTCCTTGCGGTACTCCAGCGGCAACAGGAGAGAATAATGATATTTATTCCTTAAATTTTATTTGGAAACATCTTCCAGTAAGATAGGGGTGAAGTAGTGTAAAAACGGGTGGGGTAACATATTTTTGATTTTATATAAAATTCCTCAGTGCCACACCTTGTTAAAAGCGTGGACAATATCCAAAAAAGACGCCAGAAAAATGAAATTTGTTTTCCAGCGCTTCATTAATGACTTTTACTATTCTGTAGATTTGTCCAGTAGGTGCATGTTTCAACCTAAAGCCGAATTAATAGTGTGAAATAATATTGTTTTCTTCTAATGATTGGAAGTAAGTAAATGTAAAAATTTCACGACCGTCAAAATTTGCGATATTCAACATGAGCCGGATATTTCCCGAAAGAAGTGTTCTAAAACGAAGTTTTATAGAGAATACACTTGTGATAATCATTTTCCCATCAGATTCTCTTTTTTTCCGAAATTCGCCAAATCGTTCGAAACGAATATATGTATGAAATATTCAATGTAAAAGTTTCCATGTTTAACATGTTTAATTAGAGTTTTTGTTTAATGTTTTTGATTGAAGTTTATTGTGCATATAATTTCGTGTGCAAAAATCACGGCCGTATTTTTAATAGTTTAGGATCTAATGCGCGTTAAAATTGACCATTTTTTTCAAGATTTTTGATGTGTCTAAAAACTAGGCGTTTTTTATAAACGCCTCTAGAGGACACATTTTTCATCCGAATGTGGCAAATGATGGCATTTTTTGAAACTGCATGAAAGTCTGAACGAGGATATAGCCCACAAGATTGAAATATTTCGCATAGTTTGTGAAATATTGTCAGTTCTTTTTTGTGTAAAAAAATGTAAAACTTTAACGACGGGTGTACTTAACTACTTTGCTGGGCTCACATAGAACGCATTTAAGTGTGTTCTCTTCTATTCTTACGGACTTCGGTTGGATGATTTACTTCACGTTTCATATAGCGGTGTTTTCGATGGCAGTATGTTCTTCTAAGTCTTTATTATTGACATATTATTCTTAGTACGATTTCTTTCTTCTTTCAAGGTACTTCTATTTTGGTTTTGCAGTTCAGTAAACTACGTGTATCTATGTAGTAAATATCTGTATTATTGTTGCTAGGTTGGTCGGTGAAGAAGTGAGGTAGTGGTGCTTTTGTTTGTCTATGTTGGATATTATGAATTTGGCGAACCTTTTGGCCATAGCTTTCAATTTCTTCTTGCAGTTCTTTATCATCTACATTTGCGTGAATTTGTTTAAGTACAACTCTAAAAGAACGTTCGTCTTTGAGCTGATACATATGAAATTGTAGTTTAAAAAAATGTTTGATGAGCTTCTCTGTATTACTCTGTAGCTGTATTCGTTTTTTAATACTTCTTCAAAGCAGTTTTTTTTAGATATCCATGACTTTTATTTCTGGTAGAAAGATGGGTAGAATTTACAACCATTGACTCGTTCGTTGGATTCAGATTTTTGTGTTGCGTTGCTTTCTGGTTCTATAGAAGAGAGAAGTTCGATCATGTTGTAATACTTTCTGTAACTGACATTTTCTTTGGAGCTCTTGTGAAGGTTCACTGTTTTTTCGTTACCGCCGTCTGGGGACGACCTTTTGCTACTCCGGAGTGTTATCCGGAGTGTTATCACACGTACCTTCAACAGATGACGTTGTTGGAAGTCTGTTGTGCTACTGCTTTGTTGTGCCAAACTATCGGTCTTCTGACAATCCATATCTGTACTGCTTCTGACAATCCATATCTGACAGGAAACTCTGCAGTTGTTGTTGTTGTTGTTGTTGTTGTAGTTGTTGCATTGTTGTAGTTGTTGCAATTTTTGCTGTTGTTTTGCAATAACATTTTGCTGATACTCAAATAAACTGTTTGGTACAGGCGAGGTTCCGTTCAGTACTTGCGTTCAGTCATTGCTGATGCTATGCTCTGTCCGAGGTCAGAGGTCATTGCTCGCGTCTGTCGCGAGTCGCGCAGTCTCGTTACAAACCTGTTTAACGTATGGTATAAACAAAACATCGGCTAGGGATCTCCTCATCATAAATAGTCATCATCGATTCGCAATGATACATTCTGATATTTTCCAACTATATAAAAAGCTACGTTCATGATCATTTCTGTGCAGGAATCGCGCTCGAAATCAATACAAAACTTGGACCAGCGGCTGACTACCGTCACCAAGGTGATGGGCACGTGGGTCGCGTCCATAAGCACGTTGTGGATATCCGCCCCACTCTTAGCGAAACTTCTGAGCCCCGGTCACCTGCCCGAGCTCGAAGCTGAGTTCAACGCGACCACTACGGCCAGCTTCACCGCCGAGCCTGCCACAGAACCTCCGCCTCCCAGACTCCCCTTCGACTTGTGGTTCCCGCTGGACTTGCGTGACAACCTCAATTACGCCCTCGGCGTCCTCACTCAGGTACGTCACCCGCGAAATTCGGTGGTGGTGCGTAAGTTTGTCTGGCACTCGGATGTCAAGGACGGTGTCTTGTGGGGCTGCACGTTCCTTGTTAGGTAGAGTACAGTCGGAAGAGGTAGTAAGGCATTGTCGCGATACAGTGTGGAGTACTGTAAGAATATCTTCGTTTCATTTTCATAGGTTCAGATTTGTAGAATGTAAAATGTGCTTTGGTAAAACTTAATTTCGTCATCACATTCTCATTGAAACATCATTTGTAAAATTCCTTGAACTTTTCAAATACCATTGATAGACTCCGGAAGGTTATTTGATTACCCAGAAACACGCTTTGCAGTTCTTAAACTTAGGTTATAATCAGCATTCGAATTAAAACAATTGTTAATAGTTGTCCTTTTTTTCTTACCGTCATTTGAATACTTGATTTTTTCTCTAGTTAACTCTTTGAAGTGCGCTATGGAATTGTTCCCACCATAATTTCATCCATCTAGATTTTATGGAACATTTTATTTATTCGAGAAGAAACAGCTGTGCAGTAACGAAATGTTTTTCATAAATTAAGAGATGAGAGAAAACGTGTTCATCTTATTGTGCATATATTTTTATGCCCAAAATGAATTTTATATATGAATATATACATATATAAAATTCATTTTATTGATATATATATATATATATATATATATATATATATATATATATATATATAAAATCTTGTTGAAGATGTTTGTTTAAGTGAAGAGTGTTTGCAATAACTCAATTCTACTGCTGAGTTGTTGATCATACAAATAAAGTTGTGATATATGACAGTCTTTACTAGAAGTTGTCGCGGGCCAATTTTTTTGTAGGTCAACAGTAAAGAAGTTACCTATCAATACTTCTGAAGAGTCCATAACAGATTTTTCTCCTTTCGCTAGTCTGTCGCCGTGATCGTGGACGACGCCTACTCGGTGCTGTCCAACATCTTCTGGATAGGCATGCTGTACGGGGGCTGCGTCTGTCTGCGCTTGCTTCGCGCGTCTCTCCGGGAGCTGTCCCCGGAGTCGCAGCCTTCGCCAGACGTTTACCTCGCCAAGTGCATCCGCCAGCACCAGGCCATCCTCAGGTGAGTGCTTTACCGTTTAAATTCACGTTTGCTGCTTCGAGCTGACAGCAAAGCTTGGAGTGTGAAAACACTCCAGATATATAGTCTTTGATTAAAAAAGGAGATGTAGTACGATAGTGTTAATGATCTGGCATATAGTGGAGGAAGCGTGAGTCCTAACTATTAGTAAAACGCTGCATACTGGGAATAAGTCAGCACTTCCGTCAACATGCTGCGAAGTTTATCAGAGTATAATAATGAAATGTTTAATTGTTTTTTGTAGTTTTGTACGAGAAGTAAGCGAATTGTTGGGTCCTATTATATTAGTGGAGAGTCTCAACATGATGGTTTTGATGACTTGTGTAGTATTCCACGCATCCTCGGTAAGTTCAACAATAGCAGCATTTCACTGAATCCAAGTTGAATTATACAACCCATGCGCAATTGCACATTATTCGTTTACGGCCACGGCCACTGTGTACAACTTATATATTCTGAAACATTCATGATAATCTTAAGATTAAATATATTGTATAGTCCCATTTTTAAAGGTTTTTGTACTGCAATTTTACAGTAGTATACAATTTAAAAATTAAATTATGGGTAATTATAAAAATTGTGGTGGACTAATATCAAAAACTGATTTATTTGATTGAAAAGCTATTTTCTAAAGAAGTTGTGAGCTGTGTGATAATGTCAAAAAGCACAAATTAACTCGAAACATATACTGACTCATGGGATTGAAATTGAATATGCAATACTGGTCTCCCAGCATAATAATAATAATAATAATAATAATAATAATAATAATAATAATAATAATAATAATAATAATAGTGTGCTAATAAGCCATTCATTGGTTTTAGAAAGAGAGAGTTTTTATTGGTTTATTTATTAGAATGAAAATTGTGAAATATACTTTTCCATATTTATTTCATAATTAATTAGTTTTGACGTTTTTAGCTTGGAATCGGCAACGCAAAGGTACTGTCATCAATCTCCTTCCTGTGCTACGAAATGTCGGAACTTCTGCTCTTCAGTTACTTTGCGACAGAGCTTATGTGGGAGGTACGTTGTTTCTCCGAGGCAGAAGAAAAACGTACGATGAGGTCCCGCTTCACCAACCCAAACTTCACAGCCCTTACCATCCTTCCCTATTTTCCACCATTAGTTATTACCGACAACTCAAATTTGGTTTTTCTTTCTAGTATATGAAGTATAGAAAAAAATTACATGTACCATAAAAAATCGATGCCGAAATTTTAAAGGAAGTACGTTTGGAGACTCTTGGTAAATAATATTTCCCTGTCCTTCCCTGCATGGACAACACTGACTACTAAACCGTTTATAACATTTTCGCAAAGACCAATATTCCTGGATCGGTATGGCTATGCTTAAGATCCTACAAATTTGAAACGAATCTCTTAATATTTGGAAGTACTTGACATGAAGCTCGTAGGATGTTCTAACAGTTTCTCAAAATAGCTCCAAACGTTTGCTTACGCAGTAGACTAAACTACTGCTTACGCAGTATAGAGAAAGTTATGTAATGTTGCGTGAAAATTCGGCGAATTTTCGCCAGAAAAACTGTTATTACAGGTCCCTAGTAACGAAAAAGTGGATAAATTCAGTTGCCAAATCTGAAGAAAAAAACACGCTAACACATGGCTAGAACTCATGATTTGTGAGTCCTTGATACTGAAAAAATTAATGACTGCAAAACGTCTGTCGATTAAGTCGGTTGTCCTGTCTAACCGTGATCCACCGCCATACATCGTTAATTTCGTTTCAAAATAGAAATTAATGTACATTCAAGTATATACTTATGCTAGTACATACATGAATGCCAGCGACCAGCTATGAAATCAAATATTGTAAGTGTGAGTGCCGGTGTCAGGAGGATTACGGCATTTCGCGCAGATTCCTAACAAATTGGTCGATGGGCGTGATCTTGGCTGTCCGGGTGACGCCGCGTCGAAGGCTGTATTGCCTAGAAGTGGTGGCGAAGGCTGTGCGGCAACTGGAAAAATTGGTCGATGAGCGTGATCTTGGGTGTCCGCGTGACGCCGCGTCGAAGGCTGTGTTACCTCACAGCTTTCGCCACCGCTTCTAGGCAACACAGCCTTCGAAACGGCGTCACCCGGACAGCCCAGATTACGCTCATGACTGGCCGTGGAAGACTACGACTTCAAAATTGCTCGATGTCTCCATGAGCGAGATCGCGGTTGCAGCCGAGATCGAGTTCTTAGATTGACTCCCTGAACAACTGTGGTTTCCTTTATCACTTCTGAGCGAATTCTTGAGCAACGTGTCAGAAAACGAGCCACAAACACATGCAATATTCCAACTCATCTTCCCCAGTTCAGATTGGGACACCATGGAAGGGGTTATATCTCATACTTTACATATTAAAAAAATATGCAGATGGAAAGGGGCCATGTCGTGTGTACTACCTTCCAATGCGCACAGAAATTGAATTAAAACAATGGAATCTCCAGTCATGCGTTGGTGTTGGAATACACTGAGAAACGCAGGCAAAATACTGTTCACACCGTGCATTACAAAGATAAAAGGTGGACTGTACAAAAAAAAATTCTAAGAAAACCTGTCTGAACCCCACATAGCTCCATCAATAGAGAAGATCTTTGAAAAGTTCTAATAATTGTATAAATCTGTCTACCAAATGAATACTCATACTCAATACATTATTGCTCATGTCACAGCTGACTTCATACGATAGCAAAACTTTAAGGAAAGGGACGCCCTGTGTCCCCCGCGGTGTAATTGTGCGTTGCATTATGCAATAATTACTTCGTTCTTTGAAAAGAAGATTCATGGCAAAAGAACAACTGTTGTATTGTGCTCACTAAACTATGTTCTTGCAGTATTTATGGAGACCGTGCTAAAATGTTTAATTTAATGCATTATATGACAGAATTTCACTTATTATTCTTTAGCAGTGTGCATGATACAAGTTAGAAAACATTTTTTATACAAGCATTATAAACGACCTTTTACGAAACAGATATATAACTGTCGTCCTTCCCGCCCCTCCTCACTTCGTGATGTAATCTCAACGACGGTTTTAAACCAAAACCATTTTTAAAACCAATTTTGATTGTTTTAAAATTTGATATATAATGCTTTTATACAATTTATATGCAAAATTTACAATACTTTAAAGGTTTACAATGCTTTAATATAAAAAACAGCGTATGCAACCAGTTTCTAATAATGTTTTGGCCTGCTGCAACATTTTCGTTATTGCAAGCCTTTATCAAAAATAATTTAACTTATTTATAGAAGCAAAGTGTTCGTGTAACACGACAGTTTCGTTCCAGTGCGAACAGGTGGCGAACGACGTGTACTACAGCCAGTGGTTCCGGTGCAGTGTCAGCACGCGCAAGAGCGTGTACTTTGTGATGCTGCGCGCCTTCACCCCCAGCGTCGTCAACGTCAGCGGCTTCACCGTCCTCGGGCTCGACCTCTTCTCTGCGGTGAGTCAGCGCACGACGCTGCGCTGCGTCTACATCCTCATTGACGAACGCATTTCCAAATTCAAAGAGGATTCATTACCAACACATTCCATCCATATCTGCCTGAAATATTGGTATAGCTAGGATTGAGGTGAACGTACACACTATCTTGTACTTACACCTATGCTCTGAGCGCTTGAATTTACCTTCTCCTAGGGCTGACCCACATCCTCACAGTCGAATTCATTGCCAAATTACAAGAGGATTCTTGAGAACGTATTACGTCCATATCAGTCAAAATTATTATCCACAATTACTAGAATTGGGTCCAACATACACCTCTCTCTATTTTGTGCTTACACTTTTTCTATGTGTGGTGAGTCATTCCACTGAGTTGCCTTCGTTTTTAATTGAATAAAGAGGAGACTTACCCAACATCTATCCGCATTGTTGAATACATTTTCAAATTTGATCAAATTTGACCTCTATATCAGACCCCTGCGGATCAATTGACACGAATTCATGTGTGAAACTCTCAAAGCACATTTGCAAGTAGCTAAAATTTGGCCAGGCGAGTATCGTGAATACTAAAAGTTGGAATATTCGCTACGAAAAAAGTGAATATTATTGAAACTATTTGGTACTTCAGACGTATTTTATTTAATACATTCTGCATTTGTTTCACTTATTTATAATTAGCTGCTTCAAAACCTGTTTTTGATGCCGCAGCTTGTACGAGCCTCCTACTCAATGCTGGCGGTGCTACAGCAAGCGAACGATAACTGAACGTGATGGAGACACCTGATGTCCCGAAGCATTCATCTCACCGATCTGCAGCTACCGCAATTCGAAACAGTGTTCAACGAACAAAATCCATTACATTCGTCACATTAACTTCTGTTGTATAATGTGTCAAACTTAGTCTTGGTATTGTCATAGTGTAGATCGTTCTATAAGAATATTTTTATACTCCCATTGTATAATTCTGTTGATTAGCTGCAACCATTTCCATAACAATATAACGATACAGATTTTATTATAATACAGGTCCTTTACCAATCGCAGAGAAATGTACAATCTAAGTACTGACAATTAATAGTTGTGAATCTATCTTGTAAATGTTTCGTTTGATTGTGTATATTAAAATTGCATTTAACATAATATTAGGCTTGTCCATTTAAATTATTTTATTAGTAGTATTTTTTTCGTGGAATACTATTTAAAATCAATTAGATCGTAATTTCACTTTCCTAGCGCAGCACTTCCTCGCAGGCGAACTGGTAATCAAAGTCACTGACGGCAAAGTAGGTTAGGCATAGCGAGGTGTCCGCTAGGAGGCCATCGTCGAATCCTGCATGTCAACTGTCACGAAACGATTCAATGTAAGCATTTAGCTTATGAATGGTACCATAAGTCGTAGAAAAAGTACCGTCGTAGAAAGAGTATGAAATATGATGTAATGGTTATTAATACACGAGTGTGATATTGCGATACGAGCGAGGAACGAGAGTATCGTAAACTTCGAGTTCGCGAGTCTCATCATCATAAAATCATCGTTTCAGTGTACTCTTTATAAACACTAACATGTACTGTTGTACCGATATAATTCTAACAAACGTAAGAATAAAAATATTGTATCCAACGATCGAAACAAATGATTGAATTGTAACAAAGAGTGGCGTATAAACAGCAACTTCATATGTAAAACAATAAAATTTCTCATTTATAAGGACATTCTTAAAATAAAATGCTAATATGGTTCATTGTAACAGCTCTTACCTATGACCCGGGAAGACAGTGGGTTCGAGTCCCGACAGTGCATTTACGAACCTAGCGAGATAGCTATTTCGGATGCTGCCACCATGGAGAAGAATTATAGCGCCAGCTGTTCTGATAGGTTAATTTCCGAGGTTTCTACGAAAAATTCCAGGCGAATAATAAGTACTAATATAAATAATAAAATAACGCTGAAAAGTGTATCAATCTTAATACATTTTTATATTACAGTAAAGTTGTTTTATAATCCATGATCTTACCTGTTACCAACACCGCCAGACCATATCCGTGTATTGTCCAATTTCAGATATATCTTATTTCGTAAATATCTCGTACTTATTTCATGAATAAATGGAACTAATTTTTAAAATAAACCTGATATAGATATGACAGTTACATGGTGGAAAATGGGAACATTTAGATGAAAGATATATTTTTATCTCTAAAAGCATCTTTATGATTTATTTAAAACCATTTATTTTGTAAATTATTATATTTTACAAAATTCCATAGAACAAACAAAACCTTATACAAATGTAATGATATAAAAATAAATATGAGTATAATTTGATAATCAGAAACCAAAATAAAAAGAAGAGTATAAGAAATAAAGGGAAAAATTCTTTTTAAAAAATCATCATTTTAACGCTTATCTCCATGTAGATATCACTATTATAGAGCAAAAGCTTTGCTAGACACTTTTCATATTGGAACAAAATAGATTCACTCCAAATAAAAATGAAAAAAAGAAATTAGTCTTCAGTGAAATAGTCGAGAAAATTCAAAATAATATCCATAAAAACTATAAAAAATTGTATTAATGTTGTTATTACTTTATTATTAATTTTCAAGAAATCCATGTTGTGTTTGAATTCTACTTCCCACCATGCCTCCACCTACTGCTTCGTTCAAACGAAATCTCTTGGTTCAAATTACAATTTTAGCATCCCAATTTTTAAAAAAAATCTGTCTGGATCGCGTTGTGTGAAGTTGTGTTTATTTGATTCCGTTTCAATTTCGTTGATTAGTTCATACTATTGTTGATGTTACAATGTACTCTATTTTTCATTTATGATCTATTGAAATATTGTTTCAGTGATACAATTTCTATTAATTTATTTCAATTGTATTTTTCATCAATATTTTAATTGCTGTTACGTTGTTAATAATTATTGTAAATATTTAACTAATTAACACCTTATTGTGTTTTATTTAATGGTAATTGCTCGATTCTGGTATCGATACCTTTGTTGAACGGTTTTATGGAGTTTGTGCCACTTCGAAAGTTAAAGCACTATCGATCTTCTGTTCAAGCGCAGTTCAGGCTCCGCGCCATTTAATGCATCTGCGCATTCGCAGAAGATCGATATTGCTGACGCTAGGGCTGGCACAAACTCCATGTTCTCATTTAATTCGAGTCCTTAGGGAATGGATTCTTTTCTTTCCAATTCGATTCTAGAATTAACTCCAACTTCGATTTTGGGATCAATTCAAGAATCGATATTTTTACAGGAATCGAACGTCCCTATTTACAGGAATTATTTTGTATGGAGGAATTGAGAGTTACTCTAGTTAAAATTATAAGTCTTATGTAAATGAATGTTAATAAAATACGTACATTTTTTGTGTTGTAATATTGTTGTGAGAAAGTGAAAGTTAATTTTGATGTAATAAGTGTATAAATATGAATTTAGTTCATGAAACGTTTGTTTTCTTCTTTTATGAACATTTAGTGTCTTAATTATTTATTTTTACAATGATTAAATAATGAAATCAATAAATCATTCCAACATATTACACAAAAAGAAACAATGTTTTTAACAATCTCTTAAGTAACTTCGTTATATCCTGTTTGTTTCAATTTTAAGTGTTCACCTCAAGACGCATAAGCAAATAAAATGTTGTAGAATTTGATAGAATGTGCTAACAGTGCAATAAAAACTTTCTCAAAAACTAAATTTTATTGAATTATTTGATTACCTCTAATGTACAGGAAACCTCATTCTGTTGTTATTTGATATGCACAAACACCTAGAGAATAATAAAAAATCAACCATGCATTGATTGTTAAAATAAATGAATGTGATACGGAAAATAATTAGATCTGTCCACAGCCTCTATGATCATTACTATATTATTAAAAAAATATTATTAACTAAGCCAATATTATTAAAAACCAAAATTAAGAGTTTCTGAAGAATTATTAATAAAAGGTAAAGAAGCTCGATTGATAGAAATTTAAAAAAATGGTATTGGGCAATCGTAGGCAGCAAAGGCCCCCTTGATTCCATTAACAGAGAAAAGTTCTTTCAAACTCTTAGCTACAAAGGAATTTGACAAAAATTGCCAATTTTTGCGGTATATACAAAAACGTAAACGTTTGTATTAAATATGGCAACAGAGGGTGAAACAGAGATGTGGATTATCACCAAATTTGTTTACACTTTATACTGGTTATCTGATGACGGTTGACTGAAACACGGGTGAACTACAAGTTGCAGAAGAATGTGTATATGGACGTTTGTAAGGCGGCGTCTTTTCCATCTCGACAATTCATGGACTTCAGAAAACCGTAAATATTCTACACGCTTTTTATGAAGATTGGTCACTGGTGGTTAAAATTGCAAAGGCTTTAGTCATGATTTAGTAAAAAACGGTTCAGTGTTTGCAAAGGACGAAACACTTTGACATTTCCAGGTCAGAACACATAATGAGCCAAATTATTTAAGTATTTAGAAGTTACATTTTTAATGAATAGCAAATGGAATGAACAAATAAAGGTGGCACGAATAAAACGGAGAGTTGCCCTGAATGAAATATCTACAATGCTTGACAAAATAAATGAGGTAAGTAAGCAAGTAAGTAAGCAAGTTATGATACTTTTAAACAAAAGTGTGGTCATTCCTGCTATTTTATGGGGGAAAGTATACAGTTTTGAAGACGCATACAAATTAGTCGCGCGGGAGGTAATGGATTATTTTTAGAGCAGTCTGCGGGTGGCGCGATACACTACAAACATGGGAGTCTTGCGAGAATTTGTAAACACAGGTTTGTTAGTAATTTTGAAAATGATAGAATTTAAATTTGCGTTCAAAGTAATAAATGGGAAAAACTATTTAGCGAGAAATTAATTACAAAAATAAATTATAAAATAATCCACGGGGTTGGTTAGTTCCTGCAAAAGATAGCCAGAGAAAATTAGGTTAGAGAAGACTTGGTGTGAGATGGGCTGCAGTCAACCGACAGAAAACGTCACCGGTACTACAGGTGCTTCTCGCGCTCGGATGGAGACGCGCAGACTGCACAGACAACTTTGGTGAATCATCGAAAAGCGGAGATAACTTGCTGCAAGTTGCATAAGTTGAGAAAAAACGGAGACGGAATACATTCTCTCAGTAGCGAGGAAGGATCCACATTCTCCTAGAATTGGCGCTAAAACGTGGATGAGTAGATGGTGGGCACGGGGGACTTTGAAGGTAACTTCAAAAATGAAACGCTGGGATTAAGTGTGTTGAGCGACAAAAGAAACGAGTTAGAAGGACAAGTGGTATTGTTTATCTCGCACTCGGGTGTATAACAGAGTGGGCGTTGAAGAATAGGAGGAAATCTCTGTAGCTTAAACTAGATGTAAAAGAGGTTACAGCTATGTTAGTAAATATTTGTCAAATAGGGAGTAATCAGTTCTTACGTTCAGCATTGATGTAAGGTCACGGTGAATTATTTTTGTTCATTAGGTATATAAGATTCATACTTTTTGCATTGAATTCATAAGTGATTCATGATTTCAAAACTTAGTAAATTATCTAAGACTCTATGATCCACTTCTAAATATATAAATGAGTGGGGTGCAGCTTCTCTTCGTTTTGAACGTTTCAGTATTTGCAGGTGCGGAGGGAAACCTAGGCATGCAGACGTAAGCATAGAAGAATTCAGAGAAACAGCAGACGGGGCCATGGCCTATCAGTGACGTGGCAGGCTTGCGGCCAAGGGGTACGTCAGCTTAGCACGTTGCCATCCCCACGCCGTATTGTGGTCTTTTCAACCTGAGAAGAGAGATTTCTCATCGACACACACCAACACACACTGGGATATTACAAGGAAAGCGCACACCATAATATTCCCCTGCCGGAAATCTAACTCGGGGTCGTGACATGAAAAGCGTGCTCCCTGACCTGTGGGGACTGTAGACATAGTATACGTAGATTAATTCCTTTGTATTAGGACGCAGTCTGTCTGGAAGGGTTTCTCCCGACGTAGTCGGTTTTCCTCCACTTATGGCGGGGGACGGTCCCGGCGACTGCCTCTCGGGTTAACCGCCAGGTCTCTGCGGAGAACGCAACGCAAAAGGCGAATGGGCTTGCATGCCCGCCAATAGATTCCTTCCCCTTCAATTGTAAATTTCGTTTCTTTGCTCGTTTTCGTTTTTCATTCTGCGATCTTCGTCTTCGTTTTTCTTTTTTGCGAAGATATTCGTTGTTCGCTTTTATTTTCTGTTGCTCGATGTAAGTGGATCGTTGATCCTCGTTCGTTGTACGTTTCTGTTTTTATTTGACGATACGGTTATTTGTATTAGTTTTTTTGCTTGTTTTTTGTAATGCGATAATAATTTTCCGTAGGGGTCGTAAGCAAAATGTGCTGACAAAGAATTTTAAAGGAACAACAAAAAAATTTAAAGATCAAAATATTGATATTTCTGCATTGATTTTTCGTTTGAGTAGTTTCCATTTGCCTCATTGTTTTTAGGAAATCAAGATTGCTTCATTTGAAGAAAGTTATTGCAGCATATTGGAAAGTTATGACACTTATTGCTGAAAGTTATTGGTCATTTTGGAATTATAGGAGCTTCCATCTTATGAAAAAGGTGCTATCTGCACCAGTTAGCACTTTTTAATGTCTGTCAGACAGTAAATATTATAAAATGTGTATTGGAATATTCACTGAATTTGGACAGTTCAAAGCAGTTCAGTTCAAAGGACGCAAGCCAGTTCAAAGCAACGTTAGTACAAGGGACATTCTTATAAACTTATTCAGTGTAGTTTCGTTTAATGTTCTTAGTGGGAAGCAGGCGCGGATTTAGCAGGTCATTTTGGAAGGGGTCATTATAGATTTTTGTAAAATAAAAAAACATATTTGTTATTATATTGTATATTTTTGTAGCGTATATGCGGTACTGGGGCTCGTGGCCAGCTCAGCTGCCACGGTCAACGTGCTCGCTTTCCGCTACGCGGCGCCGGGTTCGATTCCCGGTCGAGTCGACTACAGTGTGCGTTTTCCTTGAAATGTCCCATGTTGCTGTGTGACGATGAAAAAATATACTTCTCAGGTTGAGAAGACCAGAATACGTCGGTATGTCTACGTGCTAACCACACGTGCCCCCTTAACCCATGGCTGCGAGGCTCGGACGTCGCGTTGGCCGGAACTGTCGCCCCAAGTACATGCATGTATGATACTCCACACTATGGTTGTTTAAATAAGAACATAATAAAGTCCATTTCAGGTGCTGTAAATAAATTTTTAAATGCATTTTTCAATTAAAGGAAGGTAACGAACGAAAACTGGGCGTTTGGGGAATCCGCCGCTAGTACTCACGACAGATAGCACCTTTTGCAACTTACCGTATTTATAGGTCTTTTCGCTTCAACTGCGCCCTCTTCTAGTATTTTCTTCTAGTCTTCTACTATTTTCCAGCATCTTTGAGCTTTGTATTCTTCACTCTTTGCCCGTCATCATAATTTACCTGCCTTTTCCCCTTTTTCAAGAGTTTTACGATGGTCGTTACGGGTG